TTTCAGTCTCCCAGGTGATGACGAAGAGTAATAAGAAAAACCACTCCTCCTCCTTCAGTATCCAATCCATCCCGCTCACAAGTGCAAATAAATGAATCCAATGCTAATTCAGTCTACCTAACGACCGTAACTTCGAACTCGGTTTTCATCAGCACTAACGTGTTTCAAACTTTTTTTCGAATTCGAACGCACACCAACATCACACATTCACTAACCACCACACAATCATCTGCAAATGCAAACGAATAAAACAAGTGAAGAATAAGCTGAATATCGCAATAGGACTGGATGCACACAAAACGATTACTTTATTCTCCGCAGACACAGAACTAGAAAAATACTGGGCTTTCGAGAATAAAACGAGGCGTTCTGATCATTCGTAATGGCTACCAGATGAAAGCACAAGGTGGAAAATATACCTCTGAATATTTCATGAACATAAATAGTATTTACAAAGGGGATGGGCGTTAGAAATTAGAGGGTACAAGTTAGTTAGATGAAACAACACTGTTCGAGGTGTATCTGAATGACTCTGCACAAGTGTGTGCGCAGGTCAGGGGTAACGGACAGCGTGTATTGACAGTAGCGAACTGGTAAGCACGGCTTGGTCAGTTGGAACACACCGTCTGCGATCGATCGCAGCAGATGGCAGTTTATTGGCCAATACGGACAAACTCTTCCAAATTGGGGACTGCCACCATAGATTGATCTAGATGACCGAGACAATTCAATCGAACCAGATCATCTCCTCGGTCATTGACCAGAATGACATCCTGCGGAAGATAAATGAGCAGAAATGTCAAAGGGAGTCAAAAAAGAAGTTAGTGAAAGCGCAAAGTACTCCGTTATCAGATGGTAAAAAACACCAAAACAACAAGGTGGAATAAGAATCGAAAAAAATGGTTGTGAATGGAACCCGAGATATCCACAGACGGGAGTTTCTCCGATTCCTCGGAACGCTGTTAACTTACAACATTTGTTCAGGATGTGTTTCGAGTTTTCTGGAAGGCTTCATCACCAAAACATGACTCTTTGTTCAGATAGATTGAAAGCCTTTTTTAAACAATACAGGAATTTTGCACGGTCCATCAGGCAAGAGGTTGACGCACGTAGGTCGACGAATAAATAAACTGGAATCATAAGACTAATGAATTCCATGTGCTTCAGTTTATTATGCATGGCAGTTCAATATGCCAAATACTATCAATGGTCTCATAGTGAAACCAAGCACCGAAAAATGATTTACCCAGTCCGAACCAGGGTTACGAAATCACGTTGGGACGATCCAATCGACTGGAGGTATTTTCCTTTCGTGGAGATGTAATGGAGTATGAAGAGTGGCAAATCTGTCTCGTAACAGAGAGAGAGAGAGGACAAGTTGCGTTCTCTCGAATGCACAATAGGCGACAGCCAGAACCCTCAAGAGGACATCAACTTAAACAGAAGCTCTCCTCAACTTGAGATTATCAACAATGTGAGTACAAGGAAACAACGAGGAGACAGTAGTTTACAAAAGCGTTTCGTCCACAGTCAGGTTCAGCGATTTGTGAACAAGGTGGAATGAAAGTCTGTAAACGCCCCATCCCAGAGAAACTGCAATTTGTTGGTCCAGACCTTCGAAGTACTAGGAATAAGTGGCGAGAACTTCTTGCAGTGGCACTTAGCCTAAAGGCAGCTATAGATGTATCGGAAAGATGATTAATTGAGCCGGATGCAACATCAAGTTTTTTGCCAGAAGGTTTTGCGACCCGTGAGAAATGTTTCAAGCCCAGTTACCGCATAATATTTTATACATTCCTCCATCTAATTTCTATGTTTTCCATCGGTAACGTTACTATTATTGCACATCTTGAAAACACAAGTCAACCCTGAGGGCAACTATTATGAGGTAATACATTGCAAACTGGGATTTACAATGGAAAAATCAAAAATAGTTGTAGTTGTCTGAGATTCGATGCAATTTGTCGAACAAAATGCTAACCAGTGACATCTCCGTCATTTTCATTTATACTTCCTTTTATTGAATATGCAATAATACAATTCTCAGGAAGGAAGGAGTGGCCAATCAAAGGGCTGCCATGCAACACACATAGGTGGAAAAACATGCGGTGGTGATGAGATTCGAACACATATCCCTTAGGATGATAATTTTGTGACCTTTACTACCGGGCCAACATCGACTATCGCATCCAGGTAAGTTGCAAGCTCGTCGGGATAGACTGAGTGCTAGTGTAGCCATGTTCGGTATACGTTTTGCACCTTCAAAGTGTAGTAGTAGTAGTAGTAGAGGAAGCAGACAAATTTTGTTGTCTGGACAGCTATATCTCACCTGGCGGACGCATCACAGGTGAACTGTCGGCGCGCATACCATGGGCTCCGTTGGCATTTGCTAACTTCAGACATTAGTGGCGCCGTCGTGACATCCGACTGTCTATGAAAGACCAAGTATATGTTGATGCAGCTTGGCTAGTGCTGGTGTACGGCGCATAGACTTGGCCACTATGGGAAAAGGATAAAAATAGATAGTCAGTGTTCGAACACCGCTGTCTACGCAGCATTACACGAATCTGGACAAGCAATGCTGAGGTTAGGCGTAGAGTTTCAAGTAATCACGGTCGTCCAATGGAGCAAGAAGTAGACCTCTACAGATTACGTTGGTTGGGACATATGTTACGCACTTCACCAGATAGGTTGCCACGGCGAGCGATGTTTTCCGAGGCACGTAGTAGTTGGAAAAAGGCCCAGGGCGGTCACATGATGACCTGGTATTAAAGTATAAAAACCCTAACCAGGACACTGGGTCACATGGGTTCCGTTAGGCTCTCTGGATGAGGACCTCGGGATGGTACCTTTGGTTAGAGACACTGCGATATGATTGGGTTTCGCAAACAGTGACACCCGTGTATTTGCTCATTATTTTTGTAACATGAATCTATATGAATTCTCCTTATTCCGCTTGAATTTGCTCTCGACACTCCTATCTTTATTCTGCTCTTTTATCCAAATGGGCGACCAAAAGACAGAAACCGAAACCGGCGCACGACAATGCACGAGTAATGGTTGTAAAAACTGAAACCGCCTATTGCTAGTAGCCAACACCTATAAGTCGATGGAGTCGGATCACTTGGAGGCAGTGTAAATCACGTAAACTGAGACGAACGAGAGTGGATGATTATGCAAAGCTTATGTTGATTTTGATGATACCGCGAGTGTTGTGAGCTGTTATACTACCGTGTTAGAGTGGGAATAAGAATTCGAGACCCTAACCCGGCACTGGGCAGTTTTGCCCACATGGCGGTGGATTGAGTACGCGATTCACCAGGAGCCGATGTTCCACAAGTCGGATCATAGGTCCTGCTGACAGGGCTCCCATGTTAGCCACATGTATCTGTTCCATACGCAAGCTATCAGTCACAACGAAAAAAAAACGGAGAAGGATACGTACCGAGCTGTGGGTTAGTGCACGTGGACTGACCAGATCGAACGTGACACCACCTACGACCAATCGAACTTGATGATTGTCCAGCAACTGGATTTTACCAAAAGTCCCCTCTTTGATCTGATCGAAGTCCTGAAGTAAACAGAGATTGATGAGAATATGATGACTGCTGTACGTTTCATTGGTACCATTGAAACAAGAGTGATATGATATCCATCATAAGGGACTTTACGGTAAGATAAGGATGACGG